AGAGGGGAGGAAAAAAAAATCAAAGCTACACTTAACTAATGCCTGAATATTTAACAAGTGGCCCACTAATTACAGTCTGGTGGAATTCATCTGTGATTACAATTAGCAACATCCAGACTGGCTGGGAAAACACTGGCAGATGTTCAGGCTGCTTGAACTGGCATGATGTCAAGTGTTTACTTTGTATGACTCCTGCTAAAGCCCGGTAGGCCACAGAACGGCTTAATGAATGGACTTTGATCAACATGCTCCATATACTTGGTCAAACCTAGGGCCAGGTGCACTGATATACACATGAAATGAGAATATACTTTTTCTTTTGATCTGATTACAAAATACAAATGTTTAACTTTGTCGATCTTGGATTAGAAAGGACCACAGATTCTACAAAAACATAGCTACAATTATGAATGAATAAAAAGTTACACATTTATAAGGTCAGTTACGGTACTACAAGAGCACAGAGATTCATGTGTCCTCATGTTTCCAGTGCCAGACATCATGTGGTATGACTTTTTGGACCAAATCAAAAAACTCTAGGCATAGCAGTTACATTAATTTATAGAGACACGGTGCACAAAGCATCATCATTACATGCTTTTAAATAATATAACAAGTACACTACTCCTTCCACCCTAAGCTCATTTTTATGTGCCAAAATGTATTCTGAATCACATAAAACATGTGACTGTTACCAGCCACAGAAGGAATTTACTTTATAACATTAAAGGCTTCTTACACGATCCTTTAAGCACCAAAGGCGTTTTAACACTTTTGAACATTTTCGTTTCTTTAGTTTAAAGTAGGATCGACAAGTTTTGAAAAGAATTGTCAAGAATCTTGGCCCGTGTCAGTTTTGGCCCCATCTCCTGTTCAGAAGCTACACTACAGCACAGAAGACTTTGAGAAGGAGGAGTCCGTAAACATGAGAGGGCAGAAAATCGAATACATAACGGTTAGTGACTAAAACACACTGTGATCTGGTGGGAAACAGGTTTCAAACGCTGGAAAATGTCAACAACAAAAAGGCTCGATGACAAATGGATGCCACTGGGACGCTGTGTACTCTACTTGTGACTCAACGGATCATTTTTGAGTCATAAATAATCTTTGGGTTTTTGTAAAATAGAAAGAGGAATCTGGTGTAGGTGGAAATTTGTAAGTTGCTGGGTGCACCAACACAATACTTATAAAATATAAATATTAAAAACACTCTCATGTCTAATAATAGCAGAAAGTGTTGACTTGTTGAAGGATAAACTCACCCACTGTAATTTCCCCTACAGTACTGAACAGCAACGTAGACATGCTGCCCTTTCAATTCTAATTCTGCTGCCTCTGTTTTGTTGTGGCCTCTTGTTCAGATAAGAGCCCAGTTGGTAACTTCTGGTCACAAACAAAGACCCATCTGCTAGCAATCTTCTCCACTGTAAGTAGCCCTGCCTCCTGATAACATGGATAAAGCCTAGCACACATTAGGGCAAACAAATGGGCTTTTCAGTGAAACAACAGACCAACACTATCTTTCTGAGACAAAAGTAACCCATGGGTTCACAGCAAAGACAAACTGTAATGGGGGAAAAAACTATCAAAGCATCATTTTACCGACTAGAAAAGGGGCTTCTGGTTTGTGAGTGTGTGTTTGTGTGTACAATAAACAAGATGGACAGCTGCTCGACAAACAGAGTGACAGGGGGTTCTTCCTACTAGATCAGCCTGGATAAATATTCCTGGTGGTGCTAATCAATCACCACAGCTCAGTCATAGTGGGTCAGAGGTGGGCCTGGGTGATTGGCGCAATACAAAGGAAAGAGGAAGTGGGAGAGTTTTTTTTTCTTCTTAAGCTGGAGGGGGCAACGGGGGTAGGATGGTGGTGTTTGGTGACACGTCATCATGACTGCTTTATGACATTTCTTATACAGACCCTTTTCGTGCATGTTTGGGACAAGAACAGGTTGTCCCCGTTTGTATGTTTTTTTGACAAGGTAATAATGCACATTCACTTTATTCATGCTGGGTGCTTGGGGGCATGTGGTTAGATATCTACGGAGTTAAGCATCAGGTTACGGTATAAGATTTCTGAAGGGTTTATGATTGCAGTGTACCTATGGCACATATTTAACACAGAAACATAAATACACTGTTAGGCTTGAGAATCAAATCAACTGCAGGCATCTACAGTTTAACTCCTAATAGTGTGTAAGAAACTGTATGCAAATATTAAGATAATCTGTTGTTTTATGATGAAGAAATGCAACACATACATGACAGTTTACTGAAAGAAAACAATGGAAAATCTAAATCTAAATACAGTAATCAATAAGTTGGTCTTTGGTTGGGTAATTTCATAAGTAGCAGTAAGTAAGGCTGATTTAAACGTGTTAATGTCAACATATTTCTATACTAACCTCCTAGGACCTGGCATCCACATATGTGGACATCACATTTTGGGTTATTTAGACCAAAATACTCAAACACCCACTTACCAGGACACTATACTGCTTCTGTTCTATCTAAATTTAAACAAATGTTCTCATATGTGGAGCTCATTTTTCTTAGAAACAAAAATTAGGTAAAAAAAAAAAATCAAAAATCTGGTAATTCTTTGTTTTTCATTCTTCAGGTCAAATATCCCAATCAGCTCAAATATCAAAGAGAAATAAAAAATGCATGCCGTGGAAGAGTTCGGGTCTTAGGAGGTTAATTTAAGTGAAATCATAAATCATGGATCATTACAATCAGGTGTAAACTTACATTTTGTTTGACAACATGCTTTGATTATGCCATCATGACATGATATGCTAGAATCCTGCGTCCCATTTGCCTCGGAGCTCGGAGGGACATCACTCCCAAGTAAGGAAAAAGCAAAGAAAATCAGGATTTATTTTACTCCTTAGCAAAGTAAATCCATCCATTTGTGCATCTCAGAGCATCACTCTAAGAGCATTTTTAAGGAAAGAAATGACAATTTCATTTTCCCCAAAAGAGCTGATAAGAACCATGTGAGAATCTATATTTAAATGATTATATTTTTGCTAAACTGCCTCCTCAATATACACTTACCAAAGATGTGTTGCAGGTCTTTATCTGACTAAATGAAAAACATTATTTACACAGACATTAAATGGAGAGCACTAAAACAACCGGATAAAAAAACTAAAACCTAAAATGTTGTGTAGGAGCTGTTGAGAGATGGACAACAGCCCTGCTCCTTTCGAGCTAAAATAAACACCACTTTCCCCACTCTCTTTCTCTCGCCATCCCACTCAATCTGTCCGTCAAACAGCTGAGGCCCCCAGGAGGCCTCCACTGCACCTCAAACAGCCCACAATAACTTCATTGACACCAAGGCGTCCCATTAATCTTCATTTGTCCTATCATATCCTGCCATTGGCATGGAAATGTCTGCCCATCTCCGGCTTGAAGTGACAGACAGCGCCGGTGGTGGCGAATGAGCGGTAAAGAAGGGTAGGGTGTTAAAATAGTAAGGGGTGAATGTGGGGTGCCTGGCTGTCCATTTGGCAGCTTCCGTTCCCCATTCAGATGACTTGAACCTATGAAAACACACACGTTACACATGCAAGCACGCACACACACTGTGTCGGGGGATACTGCCAGCAGGAGGTAATCTGATTTCTCAGCTGCACGGGGGACCACTTCCTGAGAGGGAGGCCAGCTTGTACAAGGACGCCTGGGGTTTCCCATCTGTGCACCCAGGGGCTTGATTCCCCCCCCCCCCTTTTTTTAAATCTTTCTTTCTTTTAGACACACACATACACACTCTCACAGTTCTATGCTTAGTATGTTTCTTTAGCAGTGATACCACTAAAAAGCGTCTGAATTGAGACTGCAATCAGTTGTTGCTGAAATTTACTTTGGTTTTACCATCACCATAGTGATGGATCAATTTTCCACAAGTGGGCTGTTTGAGCAGCATGTTATCAAAAAGTCCTTACCAGTTTATAACAACTAATCAATATATAAAAAAGTGTATTGATCTGTTGATCCGTTGCTGGTTGGAGGAACAACAGCTTTATGTAATTTTCTTCCTGTTTACTTAATTCAGCAATATTTTAATGCTTGCCATGTTAAATTAGGACGTGATACCGTCTTTTAAAATGTGTAACATCAACGTATTTTTTAAACTCAATATCGGAGGACACCCTACCGCAAAAAAAGCAGAAGAAAAACTGAGAAAGGGCTGCCTGTGCAGAAGCTTACAGAGCACGGCGACATTCTCCTTTCCTGTGTCCTTCTTGACAAGGCACAGGCTCAGTCTTTGATCAGCACTCAGGAAATTTCATTAAAACAGAGATGGGTGGATACCAAACACAGGTTTTGTGGAGAAAAGAGAAAGGAGGAGATAAAAGCAGAGGGAGGCTAAGGGAGAAAAGACGGGAGTATGATCTTCAAATTGTCAAGGAGAGGAAGTAGAAATGACAATGAGACAAATGTTTGACCTTTACTGAGTTTTAAATGAAGCAAATTAAACGTAAAGGTAAAGTGGTTGTAGATGTTTAGCGGCTTGGCTTGAGCTCCCAATCACTAATGCTCCCAATCCCCGGAGGCTAAAACGAAACGAAGAATTTATTATATTTGATGACCTCATCATATTACAGCCTAATTTCTAATCAGATATGTGAATTGGTTTGGGTCAGAAAGAGGACAAAAAAAAATGCTTTGGCAGCAGTTATTCCACTAAAGTAAACTAAAAGGGTAGAAGCATGAAGGTAGATTGAGTTACTTAGAACAATTTATTATGGATGCAACTGAAACCATATAAAGTGCACCACGACGTACTAATGGCATCAGCATCCGAAGAGCAAGTCACAGAAGACGGAGCGGGGCAAGCGGCCTTTAACCTTATCAATCACGTACAACAAAGTAAGGGAGGGAGAGGAGTAGACAAGGGAGACAAACTAAACATCTCCTCAAGCTTATCAATCATGGACCAAAGAGGAGGATGAAGAGATGAAGACAGAGAGCCGGCGTCTGTTTACCTTATCGATCATGTCAGGCCGGTTGGTGGCAGCCAGAACGGTGACGTCTCTGAGCTGCTCGATGCCGTCCATCTCTGTCAGGAGCTGAGCCAGGACCCGGTCCCCCACACCACTGGAACCAGAGGAGCTGAAGGCATGGAGAAGCACAGAAGATAGATGAGCGAAAGAAGATGGAAAAGAGAGAAGAAAGCGATGTGTGGCTGGATGATTAAATGGATAACGGAGACAGGAAAGGACGTATATAAATTACCTCGAATCGGGTGAAAAACTTAATTATTGAATTACTGAGTGTTAAGTGAAGTACAGCTAAATGATGGATGGGAAGGGAGGAAGAACACCATGACCTGTAAAGGTATGAACGTGGAAAGGAGGAAATGCACAGAAAAGAAATACTCGGAGCAATGAGAGTAAAGGATAAGGGATAATGAAGTTACATGCATGATGGATGAATGGGAAGATAAATGATCCAGATATGTAGAAGAATTCATCCTTTTTCTCTCAGGAGTGCAGTACAACACATGCTGAAAAACTTTATCATCCATCACAATATTTACAATTCTACATAATCAGGAAAATTTGCCAGTTCTTGAGTACTTGAAGGGAACATTTGACATTCGGCAAGCAGACACTTTCATTAGCACAATACTTCTTTCAAAAAAACTGGCAGCAAAAGCGAGCTCTCTTGCCAGTGACGTATTAAACTGAACTCAAAACAAGGCAGCAGAAAACAGGCAATCCCTCTATAATAAAGCAGCTCTTCTTTGGTTGTTAAATACGTCCCTTTGTTTGGACTTGTGAATATCTTGCCTCACCTGAAGTCAATGTGATGAAGAAGCGAAAGCCGATCTATGCAAATATTTCATGTAATTCAAAGGTAAACCAAAGTATTGAGATGCTCTACTGAAAATGAGTCAGAGAAGGGTAAAAGAATAAAAGACAGGCTGTTCCCTTTCACCTAAATGGAGCAAAATTTAAAGATTGAGCAGCTTCGAAATGTTAAAGGGGTCAGTGAATGAGTAAGGTCAGCCATCTGAGGCTACCTGAACATCCAGGAACAGTTTTTACCAAACAAAACTTTATACATTGCAGTGACGGACCACTTCGTCCATTGCAACAGTGGGACAGAAGAACTGCATAATAGCAAATCGACAGCTGTATCGTAAAAAACAAAAAAAGCTCATCGTTGCATTAGTCACTGCATAACAAGGTGGTTATTTTCCATAACACAGTGCAGACAGCTATCCCTCCAAGCTCAAACACACACACACAGTCTCTGTTGACAGGGCCAGCGGAAGTGCCAGACGTCATTAGCACAGACAAGGCTGCAGAGGAACACAAAAGAGCTCTGTCACTGAGATATGAAGGGAGACAGAAAAGGGGGTGGGGGGAAGGGGGAGAGACAAAGTTTGGGCGAGGGGAGATGCCAAGGAAGCTGCAATGAATTGGGATGGCAGCTTGAAGAGAAAAGTAGCAAAGGCGCAAGATGAGAAAAGTTATCATGGGAAAATAAACAGAAAAAAGTCATGAGGAGGAGAAAAAGAGAAAGTGAACAAAAAACAAGCTGAGGATGGGACGATAAAAGCAAAACAGAGAAAAAAAAGGAAAACAGAAATAAAAAGGAAAGCATTAAAAGGTGCTATTATGTGGAAAAAAACTCATCAGAAGTAAAACCAATCACTCTCTGCTTCTCAAATTTGGCCTCTGTTTCCGTCTTTCTTCAATTTTCTTCATTTCATTTCACCAGTTTAGACTCGTGGCAGGTAGGCTGACAGATTTACAGGTGTTTGTCCTGCCTCGAAAAGAAAAACGCAATCTCTCACACACGCACGGGCTCACAATCCGGCAGAGACTGTCTGGTTGTGTCAACAGTTTTAAATTCTTGCCGGCATGCGCGAGGCACTTCATTGATTAAACATGGCAGGAAGTGAACACCAATAAATAACCTTTACAGATCAGCGCTAAGTGCATTTTTAAAACAGTGAGTGGGCTCAAGGCACACATCCAGGCAAACGTCGATCGTTGCCACCTCACAGTTGGTTCTCGTTGAGATCAATCACAAAATTGGACATGGAGATAATGAGAAAGCGAGGCTCAATCATATCGTAAGAGCCAAAATGCTCGTCAGTCCCGCTGGCAAATGGATGAATCAAAGTTGCAATAGTATATCCTGTATGCTGATTGCAGCACAAGAGCCAAGACTGCATTATAAGTCACAAGCTCTAAAGCTCAGCCTAGTGAAAGGCCTAGCTTATCAAGTCTAAGACTAAGGTCAAGGGAATATAAGATGTTAAAAATTCAACATCTCATGAGTGGAAGCCCGTTAACAAAAGTACAGTTATCAAAATATTTTTTTGTCTTAGAAGCAGAATGTGATGCTTTGACAAAGGGCCCACTCACAAAGGTTACAAAGACTGCCCATTGGCCTTTCTCTGCTCCTTCCTACAACTTAGTTTCATCGGTTGGTTTAACCAGGAAGCTTGCTGCATATTTGGCCTTCCCCATCTGCTGTGGAAGGGCACAATGAAGTGTTTGTGCGCCTCCGGCCTGTGTCCTCTGTCCGCCCCCCCTCCCTCCCCCTCGTCCTCTTTCCTTTAAGCCACAGATGTTCCCAGTGCCATCCCACTAAAGCTCCTCCAGACAAGACTGTGTTCTGTGTTCACCGGGAGTGAAAAGCCGCAGAAGTTTGAGGAGACACGACGAGAACTGAGTGGCTGGCTTGGATAGTGCAGTCATGCAGACTTCCTGGGATGTTTGCGCTAACCCTCATATGAATTAACTGTGAGATCTGCGGGGGGTCAAAGATTAAGGCTGGTGAACTAAAGCAGACCACAGTGATGATTGTGCATCATCATGACTGGACAAGGAATGAACAGAGCAGAGGAGGAAAGGGGGGGGGGATTATTATGTACGAAGGCTATGAAAAGAACATACTGTACCTTCCTCTTTCACTTGCGAGAGCATCAATCTCGTCAAAGAAGACGATGGAGGGAGCGACAGCCCTCGCCTTCCGAAACACCTGCGAGCAGCGTCAGCAACAATAGAAAAGAGGAAAACAGGACAAATGTTTAACCGGACTTGTGAATCACTCCCAACCAGAAGTGCGCACAAACATACAGAGGAAATACAACACTCATTAATGCCATGAATTACATCTCAGGTCATCCTTTCATTGCGTAAACAACCAAAAATATCCAGAGCATGGACGGAGGAAATAAAGAGGCCAGGAAATCAACTCAGTTTGCATAACTTTCTGCTTACACAACTTATATATATACGTATATGTAAATGATAAAAAACAAGGATGTTAAATGCACATACCTCTCTCACAGCTCGTTCAGACTCCCCAACATATTTACTCAGTAATTCTGGGCCCTGAAAGAAAAGTTTAAAGCGATTTAAAGTTATTCAAGCTAGTCTAAAACGTGACATATTTACAACCTGAAATGCTAAATTACATTAACTAATACTCAAAACACTTTGATGTGGGTTTTATTCTGTCCAGAAAGAATTCATTTGCCTTAATTACTAGCACCTTTATGACTAATCATTCCTTTTTTATCCTGAAGCTTCATCTGGAGGCAGTCCTGTTAGCATAGCTGTTTAAACTGTGACCACACAGCAGCTGCTTCTTTGTCACATCTTTTGCAGGCTACAAAGAGCCCGGTGAAAAACAAACAATGATAATACAGCGTAAGAATGTTACAGATTACAGCAGTGCGTGCACGTGTGTGTGAGTGCGTACCTCCACAGTACTCTTTCGATGTTTACTGGACACTGTGTACTGCTTTATGCAACACCTGTGGTTCACTTGGCAAATAAACAGTACTGTTTGCTGCTGCGGCCTCCCTTGTTACTGTTAGTACAATAGTGCTACCAGTACCTACTATGAACGCCACGATAACTGTAGCTGGCATCACAACCTACCAAATTAAATCTCGGGCTCATTCTCACAGATAAAATTTAAGGTTTGTAACCAAAACCAAACACTGCATTGGCTCAGCCAAATCAAAACTGTGTGCAGGACAGCAGCCAAATTTGTCAAGGTTTTTACCCAGCCTTGCTGACAGTGATAAATGAGCATTTTATTTCCATTTAGTTGCAGTTTCTTCCAACTGCAAGACACTAATTCCTCCAGATACCACTGCTACTAAGACCACATCCACACTGCCGGTTATGTTTGAGAGGATACTTTTTTCCCCTCTTCATTTTTGGCCTCCTGTCAGCCTAAAACCAGAGATGTTTGAAAATGGTTTCTTGAGTTTTCCCTCACAGCTTGGACAGTTACATCTGGGTTTTTACAAGAAGCATGGAATATACTTAAGATATGTTTAAATGCTCTGCAGCAGCAAATCGACTAATACTGTACTAGGAAAGCATCTCACTGACGCGTTCAATGTCAGTATGCTATTGAAGAGCATTGATCAGAGAGACGTTTGGCATAACAAACAACCTGCTTGTTCAAATAGATAATTACTGGAAAGCATACGCTTGTTATTTCCTGACAAAATAGGAGGCGATTAAGCCATTTCCGGCATTTCATTGTGGATGAGGAAATTGGGGACGCTAAAAAATGTACTCACTTCATTTAAATCTACTTAAACTGCTATCACGACTAATTTTACTCAAATTACTACAAAATAAACCTCCAGTTCTCTCTCTTCTTCTTAACTTCCTAGTCCTTTTCTGCCTCATATCTCCCTTGCTCAGAGCAGATAAACATCCACTCAAACCTCAGAAGAACTTCCTCCACTGCAATCCACCCTTTCAACGCCTCTGGGCTCACCGAGGAGACGACACTTAACTCCCAGCCCCTTTGTCTCCTGCAGTAAGTGAGGAGGTTGACTCATTAATCCCTGATTCCTCACTCTCTGTTGTAGAGCCAAAGGGTGGACATGGTGAGTTTAAAACCATTGACACTGTAGAGATATGAGCAGTCTCCGTATGTGTGTGTTAGTGTGCACGTATGCATCTGCGGATTTGAGTGTATTTGAGTGGCTGCAGCGAGAGGAAACTAAAATTGACAAGATGATAATAGGGCTTTTCACACAGAGGAAACAGACTGAGCCTTAAAGTATCCACATTTAAATCTGGATAAAGTATCTATGTCAAAGCAACCGCTACTCTGGAAAAACCTGATAGTGTTATTTCAGATGGTGAGAGTGGCTTTCAGCAGGAGGGACAGGATGTTTTTACCCTTCTCACTGAACAGATTCTTTTTGTGACGATTTCAAACTTGCAGCACAAGATTATAATAAAACTCTTTTTAAAAAAAAAGAAGCAGTAACTTGTAACTTTGATAACTTTGTATCAAATGCTAAAAATAGTCACCGGGACTAATGTGCGTGCACAGACATTAAACAACTCGTATTCCTCTGGATTATATTTGCTCCATTAAAATGCTAGTGCACATTGAACTTGATTATTGTAATTAGGAAACAGCACGTTTTGTAATTTTCAGGGGAATATTTGTTTTCAGAGTAAGTGTAACAACATTTTTGGTTTCTACAGTGCTACCCTTTGTTTTTCACCAACTGCCATAAACGTTGTATCCTCGACCCCAACATCATGCCAAAAGGAGCACTGCCTTCCGTCGATCCCAGAGGTTTGTGACAGGATTTGATTCGGGTAAAGACGTTGCAGTTCACATCTAGATTTGCTCCTGGCTTAATGGTGCCACTTGAGAGCTTCTGTCTTGGCTTCTTGTCTTCATGGCAACATTCTTTAAAAATATTCACTGATAACAATTCAGCAAGCTGATCAATCAATCTCTGTCAACCGTGCTTGGAGGGAAGCGAGGCTAACGTGGCAGAGAAGATGGAGTGATGAATGAAAGAGGATAAACACGGGGTCAAAGGGCAAGCAAGGAAGCTCTGTGCAGAGGAAGCTGGCCCGCCAATCTGCCTTCAGGTCATTAGGGAAACATCACCACTGCTACTTCAACACAAATGATATCTCAGTGTTCATTTAACTCTTACATCTCACTGACAGACTAGAGATAAATGTCAGTTAAGTGGAGTTCCCATCTGCGTTTGTGGTTTCCTTTTAATGCAATTATCTGACAAATCATATGGCCCCGTGTGTGTTTAATGGTACTAAAAGCCCATTTTACTAGTTTGTGCTCATTGTTTTGGTGATTGAAATTTTAGTATTTGCTTCTTGCATGTCACTTATTAGCTGGTATCTGTGTCTATGCAATGCACCAGTACAGTCTTTGGATGAAGGAGGTGATCTACACATTAGCTAATAACTTAGCACTAACCTTCTTGTCTAAATAGGGCGACATCTGCCTCCAAAAAACAAATATGATACGACTGATTGATTTCATTGTAGTTATTTCTTTTTTTTGTATACAATCTATGCTAAAAACATGGAGTTGTGAAGCAGGTAACTTGGTGCAAACATCTTTAAATTTCAGTGAAGATGTGAAACACAACTGTTCAACACATGCAGGTTAAAGGGAGGTAATTTCACTAAGTTCTTCCAGTTGGTTTCTGAGGGAATGACAATGCAACGTACATAAACACTGCTGTTACTGAGGTTTCGCTAAAAAGGCTTGGACTGGGAGTTGAGATTGACTCAACAAATCACCCATCATCTAACTAATGGCTGAGTCATATGCAGTGTTTTGGCAGAGCACTCAACCAAGAATATGATATGAACAGGCACATCTGTAAAACATTATTTGTTCATATTTATGTATGAAAGTTTGGAAAAAACAGCAAGCTTTGGCCCAGTGCCTTTTTTGATTTCAACTCATCATCCATTGCATAACAGAAAAGCAAAATTCTCTATTAAATCTCATCTAAAGAAAGATAGCAAAGGATTATTCTTAAGATTTCATGGAGGAAACTCACTTTAATAGCCAGAAAGTTGAGCCCACTTTCATTAGCCAGAGCCTTGGCAATCATGGTCTTCGAGCAGCCCGGAGGCCCATAGAGAAGAACGCCTTTAGGTGGCTGGATCCCCATGCGGGTGAAGGCCTCTGGGTGCTTCAGGGGCCACTCCACTGCCTGCTTCAGTTTTAGCTTCACTTCTTCCATCCCACCCACATCTGACCAGCGGACCTGGAACGAGGGAATGAAGTAATACAATGTTTTTTGTTTTTTGGGGGGGAGGGGGTACATAGTTACAAATGTAGTTTAATAATGCAGCTCTCTAACAAGTTACCGAAACCAAGGCATGTTCTCTTTATCCCAAATGACTTTCAAAATAAAATACCTCACACACTAATAACAAACCTTTTGTTATAAATGTTCAAGGAATGAAAAATAAATTCCATCCATCCATCCATCCATTCGCTTCCACTTATCCTTTTCAGGGTCGCGGGGGGCACTGGAGCCTATCCCAGCTGTTATAGGGCGAGAGGCAGGGTACAGGGATAGGTTAATTGATTAATCCAAATTGCCACATAGGTGTGAATGTGGGAGTGAATGTGAGCGTGAATGGTTGTGTTAGCCCTGCGACAGACTGGCGACCTGTCCAGGGTGTACCCCGCCTCTCGCCCTACGACAGCTGGGATAGGCTGAAAAATAAATTCTTTAGTATAGGTAATACAACAAATATTTAGTGTTTCATCTTTAGACTGCTTTAAGCTTTCAGCTGTTATCATGTTGTGAAAGTACTCTTCTATCCCCTTGCATTTACGTCTCAATGATGGAATTGACAATGAGTCAAAATGACGATCTTTCAAGTTGAATTTTATTTTGGGAAAGAGGACCAAGTTGCCGGGAGGAGAAAAATTTGGCGAGTAAGGTACAGTAAGAGAAGATTCTATTGATGTGGCCAAAAAAACAACAACTTGTGTTTTCAATTTGTTGTACATGACAGCATGATGGCTTGCTTCTGTTCTGCTGAGTGTCCTCCCTCAGATACCCAGGATTGGGTAATGTGTTAGGAACAAAAAGATGTCATTTCGTGGACATACAAACATGTGTTTGTCTGCATGGCACCTGGAAAGGCTAAAGTCCAACCTGGTGGCATCAGTTAGGCTGAAGCATAATGCCCCAGAGGTTTTCCATTGGCAAGCATGGTGGCAATTCTTTCATTCTCCAGGAACTGCCTGCATACTTTCACCACGTGAGGTCAGGCATTGCCATGCACCAGTGCACCAGGAGGAACCCAGGACCCAGTGTACTAGTGTATCTGAAAATGGGCCCAAGGATTTCATGTGTTGTCTAGACTGTACAGCTCCGTGCGTTCCTCCATGGATATGCCTTCCCAGACCATCACTGACCCACCACCAAACTGGTCATGCTGATCAAGGCTACAGGCGGTATAATGTTCTCCACAGCCTCTCCAGACCCTTTTACGCCTGTCACATGTGCTCAAGGTGAAGGTGATCTGTGAAAAGCACGGGGCACTAGCGGTACACGCACCTATTCTGGTATTTTATGGCAAATGCCATTTGCCACGATGCCAGGCTGTGAGCACAGCACCCTCTTGAGGACGTCAGGCTCTCAGGCCATCCTCACAAAGTTTGTTTCTGTTTCTTTTGTCTGTCATATTCACACCAGTGGGATCCAGGTATCCCCTCATGCTACCTCATAATACCATTGACTATTATATTGACTATATTAAAAAAAAAAAAAAAAGCTTTCAGAAAAGATGAGCAGGGAGAAAATATCAGTGGCCTCCAACTGTAAAACCATTCCTGTTGCGGAGACTGTCTCACTGTTGCCCCTCTAGTGCACCTGTTGCTAATTTCATTAACACCAAAGCAGCTGAAAGTGATTATAAACCCCCTTTGACACTGACCAGATCAACATCCAGACGTTTAATTGACCTGATGCTAGACTCTGCATATAACACTTATCAGTGAACAGGAAATCGAAGAGAAGTTAAAGAAGAAAAAGAGGCAATCTTAGTATTAGCTGAAGCAGATTTAGAAGAGTCTGGAATCCAATCAAAATGTTGACTAAAACACCTCTGGTTCAATGCAATCAATCACCCAAACAATAACATGCAATCAAGCAAACTATATATGTATCTCACTGGCAGAGGACGAGAGTGCCCAAACTCTAATAAATGCTCACCATTAGTCCTTTATTCCAATATAAAGCTCAGACTCACATAATACACTCAAATACAAACACATCGCCAACAATAAGTGCAACAGACCAAATAAACTCTGATTGCACACTGATGTCACTGATGTTCTCATGTAACCCACAGGAAGACCTTTTTAACTTTCTGACCACACGAGTAAATCGCAAAGAATGTCAAGTTCTTCCAAACTGTTGACAGGGGTCGGGTGGAGAGGAGAGAAATATAAAAGCATATTTGGAAAGAGATGGAGGAACTGAGGGCTTGGATTGGGGAGACTCTGGACAGAGTGAACAACAACAGAGCGAGTCTGCCAACAGCTGTCTGTCTGACAGATGGAAGGAGGGAGGAAGGGAGGGAGAGGGTCCGGCAGTGAACAACCGGAGGAGATAAAGCAGATAAGGAGACAGCCTCATCCAAAAGCCTCTAAAGCCTTCCTGTCTCTTTCTTCGTTACCAATTCTTTCTTCCTTATGTTTCACCTCTTATGCTTCTTTCGGTCTGCATCTCCTCTCATTCTTTTTTTTCCCCATCTCCTTTTAGATCCACTTTCCCCCACTCATTCCTTCCTGTTTTACTTCTGTCTTTATCTATCGCACTGCTTTTCTGTCCTCCCACATTTGGATTTGTCTTATTACATTCACATGAACGAAAGAGAGAAACCGGTTTTTTTAGGAAGTCAAACAATGTGTCCATATGCAATGTAGTACAGCTGGATACTGTAAAATCTACACACAGTAGTTCAGAAATAGCTCCTCTGCTTCTAAGCTTATTTTGTGTACTGGTGACATAAGATGCTGTCACCAGCAGGGGCACCTTCAGATTGTTTTTCATAAGGGTGGCCATATGAGGATCACTAAAAATATTGGGGTGGCACACGCTGTGCCACCAACCTTCTATCTGTGTGTGTAAAAAAAAAAAAAAAATAACAAGTTAACCCTTTAAGACCTACCATAGAACCAAGTCCGCCAGAGCTTATATTATATTTTTACATGCTGTACCACCAACCTTCTATCTGTGTGTGTAAAAAAAAAAATAAATAACAAGTTAACCCTTTAAGACCTACCATAGAACCAAGTCCGCCAGAGCTTATATTATATTTTTACATGCTGTAGTGCCATTTCTGGGAGCATTTCAAGTTGCTATACATCAATACAACTGTTATAGCCCATATTTTAATAATATGTATGCATTAAGTCCATAGTAACTACATTAATTGCAAAACAGTGCAATAAACTACAAAATAAATGAAAATCGTTTTTGGTTTTTTTGCATATATTTCTACCTGGAGAAATTTAGGAGGTTTATCCCTCAAAACTTAAAATACAAAAAAGTTGCAAAAATAGTTTACAACAACAGGGAATTTATTTTGAGTGTCTTCATAGTTTTATTTTTAAGATACACCAATTTCTATATACTGCAGGAAAAACGAAAAAGAATCCTATGATGCAAATTTGCAAAGAAAACAGCATGTGCATCAAAATAAACTATTTCCAGCAGTGCAATTCGAGTTCTAAGCATCCCAGCAACTATTCAGAAAAGCATAAAGTCAAACATGACTTTATGCTTTATATACGTTTTTGTTCCTGCAAGCGCCTTTTATGCAATTTTTGCAAAGCTTTATGTGGAAGGAAACTGTGACCTAGGACAAGCTGATGGCATAAGATGTAAGTACAACTCCTCCAGTTTCATATGCAAAAAAAAAATAATTGCGCTAGCTTACGCGGTTCCGGTTCTACAGGGATTTAAAAATAGTTACGCAAAACAGAGCGTGCCCGCTCCGACCGGTTTTAAAGGGTTAATGTTTCAACTCATTGTAGGATGCCTTCTTCTCTTGTGCTCATGTTTATTAAAAATATTACCAACATAGGACAGTCTTGCCAGGAGGGGCCAGTGCCCCCCCTGGCCCCTCCTTGGTGGCACCTCTGGCCCTACCAAACTTGTTTCTACATGTATTTTTCATTTGTACCTTTAGACTGACTGTTAAAATAAACAGACAGGCTCTAGTTAAACAGTTTTCAGTTCAAGTGCCACAGGTCTGAATTTCACAAATAATCTAAATGCAGAAAACACTCTGAATACTGAAAACTTTTAATTCTTTGAACTCAACAATGCGATGTGACATGTGAGAGTAAAATTCAACTGAAAGCCAGTGCAAAGTGCATTCAAAATGTTCCTCAATCCTGCACATAGAAATAAAAAGCCATAAAAGATTTAAACATGATCAAGCTCCTCCTCAAAGTTATTTTCTTCTGCATCTCTGGAGAGCTTCCATCACTACTAAACCACAAATTTGGGCAGGACCAGGGCAACTGTTGCTCATCACCAGCACTACTTGCCAGATTTAGTTCCCCAGAACTTCATCCACTTTCCCAAAATGAAATTCAAATTGAAGGGTCGAGGTTTGATACAGCGAAGGAGATCCAGTGCGTACTGCAGAGGCACAAATGTGAGTGGTTAGGATGGGGCTTACAGGGAGCAATCTTAAAGTAACAGCTGTGCTGGAAGTGCCGCGGTGCCACGCACGGAAACAAATTCCAACCAGATATGGCTTTTTATTCACATTAGGAGGCAGAAAACTCTATCCTCTCACCCCGTGATGTAGATATTGTTCGTCTCCACAACAAAACAAGGTTCCACTGAACTCTTCATTACTAAACACCAGTCATTCAAGCACCACCTGTTGAGCACCAGTCAAATTTTCTAAAAAAGAAGGTAACCTTGTTACTGTCAACAAGTGCAAAAGCTATTTACATCTACCTTCCTACCTTCTCTTCCCAGAGCTTTCTATTTTTTATATCTCTCCACTCATTCCTTTTTCCTCACTTGACCTTCTCACTATCACCCTCTCTCACTCTGCCTTAAATACATGCTCAAATCTCTTTCCCTTCCCCTCTTTTTTTCCTTTTTACTTCCTATTCTCTCCTCACAAGCTTGTCCCCCCTCACCCTCCCTACTGCCCTCCATCCAAAGGTAACACATCCCAGGCCACCGGCGCCGTCTCCGGGGAACAGAGCACCTAATGGAAACCTGGCGTCTGGCCACATACTGTAAATACCGAACAATTTATGGACAGCGCTAAGCGAGCGAGAGAGAGAGGGTAACGGATGGTTGGAGGGGAGGGAGGCGAGGAAAGGAAAAAGAGAGAAAACAGTGCTGCAGAGATGAGAAGATAAGCCGAAAGTAGGTAAGCAAAGCAAAATGCCAATTTGAAGCCCCAGAGAGTAATGAAATGAAATAAAAAGTGAGATAAGGTCATCTGTAAAACACGGGAGATTGAGGGAACAGGTGAGCATGATTAAGACAAGTAGAAAAAAAATGGAGGGAAACAAAAAAAGGAAGTTTTTGTGACATACATTACACAACATTTATAAAAGAAATAATTAGAAGGCAAAAAATGATAACTGAGCAGCTTTGTGCTGATACCGATGATATTTAAAGCGAATGACGTGAATTCTCCAACTACGTGCCTCGGCTTTTACTTTTTGCCAAGTTTTGCAGTGTTTATGCAGTCATTCAAACTGAAATAGTATCATTACTTTGTGATGTTTTGCAACTCCGAGAAATTATATTAGACAATAAGGGAACAATAAATCAGCTGGATATTACTTTTGGTGAAAAAAGGCAAAAAATTGCAGGGATGGTCCAAACATTTTTCCTGGCCTCATTGGCTGCATTTATTATTTACATGTATGAGTGCAGCATCGGGTCACAAGAGAAGAATGTTTTCTAGAACTTTGCAGTTTTCCTGGAAGTTTAGGTCCCTGAGAGTTTTCGATGATTACGCTGATGACACAGGTAGACACATATTAAAATTGGCTGGAGGTACAATGATTGAACATTTCCTTTTCAACTGCAAACAACGAACAGCTGCTAGGGTCAAATGCAGAGAAAAAGCATGTAAGCCTCCAAATTAGCAGCCACATCCACAGGCGTTTAATTACAAATCAATTATTCCCATGTTTCTATCAAAGAAGCAGATGTGCAACACAACTTTATGCACTCATCTTCCCCCCGTTTTTTGTTTTTTTTAGTTGCCTCTGCAGACTCAATGGAGTCATTGTAAGAAATAACAATAAAAAGTCACATTAAGTGTAAGCTGCCTTTTGTCACGAATGAAGTGTTTGTGGAATTAGAAGGCAATGTTTTGACTCACACCTCGCTCTGCTGTGTTTCCCCCCCTTCTTCCCTCTCTTCCTTTTTGTACGAGACCCAGTTATTATCTTTTACTGTTGTTTTCTGAACTTTACAAGGGGCCTTCTCAAGCTCGGGTCCTTTGATGGGGCTGAGAGGAGGGGTGTGGGGGACTTCACAGACAAAAAAAAAGTCAAGAGAGACAAGGAGTATGTTTAAAAGGAAGAATAATAGGCTTGTTATACAGCTGCCAAATAAAAATATTAAAGCCAGGCTATAAAGTGGAAGATGTTCATTAAAAAAAACCCGGGTAAACTGAGATAGTTTGAAGAATTTCTCATCACAGAGCAAACAAAGGATTAAATCAAACTTCTGATGTATTTAATCATAAATAAATGGTAAATTGAGAGGCATATTCTGTAAAATCTCTAGATCTGTGATCTGAGAAGGTTTCGGAGGAACTCGAGGCATGTACTTATCCGGCACCACTGGAAGTTTCTTATATAAAATGGATTAGAAACAAATGTTTGCACTCATGTGGATATAATCAAGTCCGGGGCTCTGCGGCTGCCCTTTCAGCTGAGCTGTGCAAGGAAAGGAGAAAAAAAAAATCCAAACTCAAACTCACTCCTCTCTTGTTTCCAGGAACCGGCCACAAGGACTGAATGTCTCTGGGCGAGCTCAGTGCAGAGTGCTGCAGAGAAAAGGGGAGGCGGGTGGAGGTGAAGGGATAGGAAGGACGTTTCTTCTTCTTTTCGCTTTCTCTTTTTTTGGTTGCTGGCAGGAACCGTTAGCGACCCGATCTGCTTTCAATTACCGGTGGAGGATGATGTTAGCCCTCTTCCTGTCCGTTATGTCTTGCACATGCAAACTCCAAAACATCCTGGAGTCTCACCACTGTCCTCTCATTTCTCCTTCCCCTCTGTCCCTCCCCTCCTTTGCTCCATTTTTCTCCCTTCATCCACTAAGAACAAGTGATTCATCTTCATTGTAGCGGAGGGTAAAATGGCCACGGGGTCATTTCCACTCTTCCTCAGCCTGACCCTCATCTGCTGGTAATTCAGTGGTCAGAGAGTAGTTAAGGGATTGTTTCATGTGCATTAAAAAGGGACAATAAAATACACAGGAAGTCCGCTGCTGCTGCTCTCTTTGAGCTTTTCTCGCAATTCTGTTTAGTTTAGAGATTTTCATTCTCCTTTCGATGAAACAAAGATCGAATGAAACAAACCAGACTACTTCCTCTCATCATCTCATCCAGACTGTGTCATTATGAATGATGCCATAAATAAGTCAAGTATGTGAAGAGAAGGTCTCTTAATTTTTCCCAGACTACTCTTTGACATCCAGCTCCAGTTGAAAATGAACAAACAAAAGTCTTCATGCGTTTCTATGTCCACAAGTGAGTACAAGCCCAGCCTCAGAGCTCTGTCCCTTTAGATTTAACCTGGCACTAACTGACACTTTCATAATAACAATCTGTTAAATGTCATGAAGCTGACATAGTGAGAATTTCAAAGGCATTGCTCATGACTTGAACGGAAGCGTGGCCCAACCGGAGGTTTAAGCTGATCGATCCCCAGAAACTCTTAAGATATGAAATTAATAAGTTTATATTCAGGAGCAATACATTAAAAACAAATTACTGACCACCTTTCAGAGCATTTCAAATCCTGCTATGTGGTAAAAATCATCCTAGAAGTTTGTGCTCCGGTTTTTGTGAGTGAAATTCTTGTGTTAGGGTAGTTATTTGATTAGCACTAATTAGCAAGTATAGTGTCTATACGTCTATGGTTCAGCTGGCTAACTAAGCTTGCTAGCCTTAACTGATAACTGATAACAGCACTCCAGTCTCTCTTCTCATAAGGCGAGAAAGACCTAGAGTGCAGCTGCTCAAATGTTGAGGTTTTGAAATGCAGAGTTGGAAATCAATGTGTGACGTCACCACGATTACGTCTGTTATACAGTTTGTGGACAAGGAATAATCACGTCAGTGAGAGTGGTGATCATAGTGGAACATTTAGCAACTCAAGAGCCAGATTTCTTTATGGAGTCAGCAGAGATATCTGTTTAATTTAGTTTTTACGGTGCCTGTGCTTCCTGTCTGTTGCATAGCAGACGTTGCACTCTCTGACGTTAGCTCGCTTTTTTCCCTTATTTCCTTCTTTTGGCTCTATAACTGGAAGAAAAACACTCAGAAACTGTCACTATAACTGCAGTTAACTTTCACTCACATTAACAGTTGTTAGCCTATTTCCAAAGGTTAGGAACCATTTCAGGAACTAATGAACCCAGGAGTTAAATTTAGTCACTATGACATCATTTGATGTTCCTACTCTAACAATTTTACATCATGGACCTACGAGAATGATTAAGGGTGTTTTGACACCTGTAGGTCGTTTACTCCTGTCTGAATCAGTTGATGAGTTTGTAAACTTGTAGCTTTTCCTCATGATTTGGTTTCTTTCTGCACAGAAAAAAATCCAAATGAACTCTGAGCAAACCAAAACGCGTCACTACAAACCATGTGAGAAGGTTCAGTCGGCTCATTGGCCAGATGTTTCTGGAGCGGAAGCAACAAAAGTAAATACAGGAAGAAAGTGCTGTGTTCTAGACTATTGGAGATCACAGAGGTTTTATATTCACAGCTAGTTGCTAGCCTGTACAGATTTTTGCACATCTATAGTACCTTACCACATTCAGGATACAAAGCAAACGTGGCTACAGGAAGTTTTTTAGCTTAAACTTGTAATATATACCTGGTAGTTGGGTCGGACCGAGACTCTTTTGGAAGAGTTGATTACTGTGTTCACACCTGCACAAACGAACCAGCCCAAGGGAGAAAATGAGCCAGATTTCAACTGAAATGGACTAAACCCTGCATGTGCGAAAACACCCTACCTTTGGAGTTTATGCCAAATGGCCAAATAAAAATTCCTGCTAGAACAGGAGCTTAGCTTTATAGCACAATCTGGAAGCATCAGCTTCTACTAACTCCAAGATCAATATGAGGGGCATTTCTTATAGATGAGTGAATTTTTAAAAAGATATGTTTTTCACATTCAAGAAGACAGACAGATGAGTCTAAATGAGCTTACGGCATGAGAGAATGAATGGAAAAAACAAACAAACAAACAGACTAGTTGTGTCAGTTAATGTACCTTGGGGACATCAATAGCAACCTCCCTCATGGCACTGGGCTTCACTACAGACATGGCCCACTGGAGGTCCTGCAGAGTGACTGTCACTGTCCCCATTAGCTGCTGGTCAGACGGTGGTTGATGGGAACCTCCCAGTGCTCGCCTCAGTGCGTGCAAACCTGCACAGGAGAAGGTTTACATCAGCTACTGTAAATCTGTCACCGAATCAGAAGTGGAAAACAACTTCATGCTGAATAAAGAAAAAAAACAAAAAAAGAACTGACTTGACACAGGTTTGACCTGAAGGGAAGCATTTTTGTTTGACGTATAACAACTTTAAAAACAAAACAAAAAAAGAAGCTTTCCCTGAAAACATTCAGGTTGACATATTATAGAAAAGATGGATCATTTCAAATTCAAAAAGAGTTCTGGATCCACTGCCTAAAAAAGAAATGCTTGTGCCATTTTTCTTCAGTTTCATTCCAAACCCATATGCACCAAGTCCGTTTTTTTAACTCAAAACGTTCAGGCTTGTACTTGCTGTGATGATACACACCTAGTGAATGCAAATCTTAAAATGAACGCTAATTCCCCTTTTGACGGTGAAAATAATTGGGCCTGCAGAGAAAAGTAAGCAGGCAGAAGGGAAGGAGAGTGTAATTGAAGAGCTTAAGGTTTGAATGCCTTTAGTCTGCAACTGAATAAAAAGAAGATAAGAAAACAAACACTGATGTGTCAGTATCAAAAAATGAGCCTTTGTTTCGCTCTGCAAAAACAGTCAATGCAGAGTGATCTCACGAGGAAAACAGTCTGGGCCGAGTTAGCTTTTAAAAATTGTGAGGTGATGACTGACATAGAGCACATACTTCTGAAGAAAAGGTTAGAAAAAATTATTTATTTACTGGAAAGGTCATTAAACATGCCTGCTAACCATAGAAAGCCGCTCTGTCTTCTATTGTTGGATGCCGAGCAGCTGCGGTCAAGTGCCTTATTTAGAGGAGGCTAAGCAGCACTTGTAAAGGGAACTTAGTTTTCTTTTTCCTGCTTTTCCACAATCAGTTAACAACCACAGTTGTTATCTGTGTCACGGGGGAAATGAAGATTGATTAAGGATCTTGTTCTGAAGCACGTTCTCAACAAAGGATGTTCTTACACTTTTTGTTTAAACAGAATCTGTTGTTTACTTCAAAGGAGCCTGATGTACTGTACAGGTGAAATTAGAACTGTGCAAACATCGGCAGTGTTACTGCATGAATCGGATCAGTGCACAAGGATTCCAATTGGTCATGTACAGTTTGCAAAAACCTTCCAATTTACTTAAAGTGTAAAAGATTTGCAAGTAGGTCTAGGGTCAATGCTGCTTGCCATCACTGCTAAAAATGTAAGGAGAAATGCAAAGAGTAAAGCAATGACAGCATGCAAAACGCCATGTGTGGATCAGCTTGCATCCAGCTGTGGAGATTTAACCCCTACAGGTGGGAGGACAGGTCTTCTCTGAGTTAATTACATGCTAAATGTGGCCAATGATTAGTAGTTACAAAACCAGCCCACAACCACGTTTCCAACCCCAGTGTTGGGTAACAGTATATTAAACACACAACCGTTCTCAATGCACATGTGCACATATCACACAAATACACTCTTGGCTTCCTCTTCTGAGCAACAGGGTTGGGGTGGAGGGGGTCTGGATAGGAGACGGAGTGGAGAGGGCTGTAGGGGAACGGACGTGGTCCAGGGCTTGGGGCCAGAGAGCAGACGAGAGGGGATTTACGATCAGACAAGAGTGCATCCTGTTTATATTTTCCAGGACCCGTCTGACTAGGCAAGGGACAGACAGACAGACAGCGAGGGAGAGAGGGGAAGAAGAAGAAGGAGAAATTCAATTATTGGAAACGCATTTGTCTTCGGCCGAGCTCAATGTGTTCCCCAGTCCCGGCTCCCTGGTGTATGATGCATTTTTCACGCCCCTTCAATCTTTATCCCCAAACACCCACCCTACTTCTTACTCTCAATCCCCAGAGCTCTAAACATCCCATCATTCCACCTGGCTGCTGCTTCAGCTCTTCATCTGCGATAATGCTTTGTCCCGGCGCTGCTTAGACTGCAGAAAAACATCTGGTTTGAGTGGAACAGACGAGGCAAGACAGGATAGGATGTGGAAGGAAGCTGGGGCGAGGAGGGAGATGAGGAGCACCAGCCACAACACCATATGCACCAACCCCAAACCAAAGCTGCCTGCCCTGCAAAGGCAGTGGGGCCTCAGCCTCTATAAATGCTGAGAAGGTGATGGAAGAGGGCCAAAAACAGGATTAACTGCTGGCTTCAGATCTTCTTTGAGCTTAGAATGACCACGGAGATAGAATGATTTTGGACTTATAACTCTATAAAAAGTTGATTATTCGTATTTTACACAGATCAGAATAAATAAACCTATATATAATGGGTAAATATAATAAGCCGCTTCTTCAGTGCATCTCTCATTCTGAAGATGAACTCCAACTCCACCAACTTGGACTGCTGCTGCTGATCACAGTCTTTGCTCTGCTCTGCAGCCTTGTGGCTGGTTGGGGTGGCTCTCAAGCTCAGAGTTAATCTGTGAAGTTGGAACATGTACAGCTCCAGGATGAGAGACTCAATCAGGAAGAAGCCAACTGTCAACAAGGACCACCACAATAGCAACCTGGCCAGTGATACAGCCAGAAGGTAAAACACAAGACGGAAAAAGCCAAGGGTGGTTGGCTAGGAGCAAATGAAGTTTGAAAATAAGAGTCAGGAGACTGTTCAGATGTTCTCTCAGATGGATTAAAAATAAAATAAATAAGGAATCACCAAATATACTTGGACAGCCTCTTAAATATACCCGGGCAGCTTGCCCGAGCACAGAAAATGTGTCAGAAGCAATGTAAAGTAACATAAAAAAATAATACACTTATGTTAAAACAAAGGCAAAAAGCAACAACTATGCAAAATCACATTAAAAATACTTGAAGAAATGCCTTCATACTTCACTTTCTGCAAGGTCATTAACATCAGATTTTTCTGCACATTTCTGTGAAGCTTTTGTCACCACGTTTCAATCCTCTGTCCAGCAGCTAAAGTGAAACGCTCATCATCTGCAATAAGCTTTGACAGACAGCTAATGTTAAAGCTTCCAGTTAGTGGTGTGGCTGCATACAAGCGCTGAAAAGAAAAGAAAAAAAAATAACACAGCTGACATATGTTTAATAAATGTTTCATCAAAAATCATTCGAAACTGTCTGGATTAAATGTAACACGAAAGGCTTTGCAGAGAATCGTCTGGCCGAAGGGAAAACAGAGTTCAGAAGGCGCAGAGCTTCAAATGCAGCCTGGAAGCCCAGAGGGCGGCGGAAACTTGATTCAACAATTTGACTTTAACATTTTGCTTTAGGGATTCTCTTGGCTGACTTCAAGCACACATTTGGTTTAGTTATGAAAACATCCGATGGGAGGGGAAGAGGGGGAAAAAAAAGAAGCAACACAACACAATTTAATCTGAACCTTCTGTGGACTCATTTCCCTATTCCTTTCTTTCATTTTTTTCCTTGCACTCCTGTTTTCCAGAATGCTTCACATTCACCAGGGGTCCACAGGGAATTGAAAGAAAAGGGGGCCTCCTAAATGTACAAGAATGCACATTTGCAAAACATCACACCAGGGCCTAAAGTAGGTATGGAAGTGAGAGAAGACCTCATTTCCCAGAGCTGGTATTGGAAAAAAAACAGAGGAGAGCGATTATTTGGGTTTTTTCCCCTTCCCAGGGGCACAATCTTAATTGCATCCGTCCAAAACAGACCTTGCCCCAAATCAAGGCCTTCTTTTCAGGGGTCACATCCTTTGATGCTCACACCAAACTGATCTGTCAACAACAGAATCAAACATCTGAATACCAAACATTACTTGGAGACACTTTAACATGTGAAGTGGCCAGAAAAAACATCGAGATAAGATATGCATTAGATTATTTTGGAGCTAACACTAAGTTACAACAGCCAACAAGTAATAAAAAAAAATCAAAAACTTCTATTAAACAGTAGGATGCAGAGAATGTAGTGAAGTTAAGCAGTTTATGTGCGTCTATATATTGAGACAACCAGAAATCTGAAACACTGTCCCAATACTATAATAGTATTTCCAATCGCAAAGGGTGAAAGAGCAGCTAGTTTATGACGAATCTGTTTCTGCAAAATTGAAGGCAATTAAAGTATCATAAAGATTCATGCAATCCCATGAATATTGCAAAGGTCATTTTAATGATAGCTCAATTCTACTAGCAGAAAAGCAGGCAAAGCCACTTTATGGGTCACCTTTGAGGGACAGAGTCTTTGACTGTGCAGAGTCAAGGACTATGGGTAGCCAGGACTACGTAGTCAATACAGACACGTCAGCATGCAGTCTTAAAAAAACAGCAGTAAAAGAGATGACGTTAAGCATAGTTAGACTACTTCTTAAGTGAAAAGTTGGCTTGACGAAGACAGAAAGTGTCAGCAGAGTTCACCACAAAGACGTGTGAAAAAAAAACCTCATCGGAAGCTTAGAAGCACAGAGAGCAGCTACGATGGAAAGTTTACACTGCTTTTAACACTCGAGGGGAGTGTTTAAAACAAGCACAAGGATAAATAAAAGTAGCAATGCTAATTGTTCCACATATTTTTGATGCTGCCACCTGGTGATCGTGCACAGCCACAGCATGTAAATGACTGTCTGCAAAGACTTGTGCAGCACCCTTGATGTTCATGAACAACCTCTGTCAACTTCTAAAAACCTTGAAAACCCCAAAGTTTCTACTTTGAACATTTGAGCAGGTTTTCCGTACAAGCTTTTTGTTCATGCAACTACAAGTCCACTCAATACAACGTTCGAAACTTTCCCTCGACATTCAGAGAGGAAGAAACACAAGAGTTATGTGGGTAGAGGTTAAACATTCCAGCATGGAAGATTAAAAAAGGGAAACCTGACACAGAGAGAGCATCAGGGAGAGCAGATCATCACCAACAACAGAAGTGTACTCGCATATCAACACTGCATTAGACATTTCAACACAGAATAATCAGAGCTATGTTTTTGTGTTACGGTGCATTGTGTGCTGCTGCACTGAAAACCAATGAGGTTGAGCTGAAGCTCACCAGCAAGGCCGGCCTCGAATGATTGCAAAATACTT